GCCTTATGTATGATAGGCGCTGCCGCCGGGAGAGGTTCAGCTCTCTCATGCGAGTGCTTGATATCGTCGCATGGCTGGATAAAACCGCGCGATAGCGATTTGTGTGGTGAGCTGATTGTACTCCTAATGGCTTAACGGCGTGCGCGCGAGATTGCGCATGCGACGCGACGGGCGCGATGCGACGCGACGGGTGCGACGCGACGCGACATCGTGATCACCCTTCCCGGGTTGAATGTCACGAGGCCCGCTCTACATAAACTTAAAGGGCCGCGCACGGGCGTTAGCTCCCCAGCATGCTGCATGCACGCGGCGCGCGTGCGGCCCTTAGGGTAATCGCTGGCATTTTCCGCGAGCACCCTTAGAAGCTGAGCTGTGCGCGCGCCGCGTGTTGCCTGCCTGCGTCGCCTCGAGAGCGATGATTCTTGTCCACTACCAGCTTCCACGACACCGACACACCCAGCCGCTCACCATGCCCAACCACGGCAACAGGCGCAACCCCCTGGCAATATTGAGCAGCGAGCAGTGCATCCAGTTGAGGAGCACGGCGACCTTTTCTGAGACTTTTGAGACTCGCGACCTTCGGTGAGCGCAGCACGTCATTATATCTTGTCATACATACGCTGAAGGTTTGCCGCAGCGTGTTTCATCAACACCTGCGATCGACAGAACAACAACACCAAATACACGGGCGTACAACAGCACGTGTCAACAACTTCGTTCACAACTTGGCGGCTTGCATTCATGTCTGGTGGAGCCTACCGCCCCGAGGCTGTATTCCACTTGGGTTGCTGTTGCTTTTAGGGAGGTGAGGCTATCCTTGTTGCTGTTATAGTCCGTATTGCTACGGCCCTTAGTTGTAGGGCGAACATACCGACGGGATCCATATCGCCGGGGCAGATTCAGGTGTGCCCACGACTTTCTAACTGCCACGCGCTAATCTTTCAGGCTGTACGCCGCTGCTCTCCCTGGCTTTGGCCGCCAACCCCGTGCCCTCTGCCAAGAGCGACGTCGAGCGGCGCTATCACGAGCACCCTTCATCGTGCGTCTCTTACTTTCTAATGCGAGCGGTCACACGAGGATGCCTGCTTTCTAACGGCCGCCATACGATCAGCAAATGCGCATCTCCGACATTAAGACGCTGAGCGCAGGGGTGTGAAGGCGAGCACTTTCTTGCCGGCGCATGCCCGTGGGCGTCAACGGGCCCTTTCCTTCAATAACCAACGGCGCTCACTGCAAGGATGCATGGGCCCGTGTCCCCTCCACCCTTCATCGCGGTATGCAAGAATCGCCCCATCGTCCGAGGTGTCGCCCTCAATACGATGCCCTGCATTGCTCGACGTCCCGCAAGCCTTCGTCGCCATCAGCACGACGCGCCCCGCTCAGCATCCCCTGAAGCGTCCGTCGCCTGCAACGTGGCTCGCCGCGTCACTCGGTGTCCCTTACAGCCTGCATCGCCACGAACACGGCTAGTTGCGCCGTTCAGCATCGTCGCCAACCTTCGTCGCCATCGACACGACTCGTCGCATCGCCCGGCGTCCGCTTGAAGCGCCGTCAGTAGGACTCGTCGCATCGTCTGACATCCTCTCCAGCTTCGTCATTTCACTGCAGACTTGTTATTGTTGTTAGGCCTTGGTAGCAGGTGTGCTTATATTAATGATGATGCAAGCTTGCCACGAAATTCAAATGCAGTATTTTACACATGGAGAGCAACGGGCTCTCAGCGTGTTCGATAGTCGAACGAGCTCAGGCGTTGAGGGATTCTTCGTCAAACTCCTCATCAGACCCCTGTGACCCTTCATCATACCCTAAGCCACGGGCCATATTGAGGACCATGCGAGCAAGCAAGACAAAAACCAAATTCGTAATGCGCACCGCCATTTTTATCCTGCGCACCGCCGTCTTTATCCCGGCGTCTCCTTTCAGCACGTTCTTGAGCGCGCTTGCGCTTCTTCACGAAGACTTTTTGCAGATCGGTAAGAAGCTCCGGGTATACGAAAGATACGGTCACTCACCTATCATGGCCGCATCCATTTCGCACGGGTCAGTGATTAGAATAGGCTCAAGCTTAATGATCCAATCTTGACCCAAGCCGTAGACTTTCAGCGGCGGGAGCCATAACTTCGCAAAGACCTTAGCAAGGTCTCGGAGAATGCTGGCTTGACGGGACGCGTATGCGAGTAGGCCATGAGCTAATCGAGAATTGCTCTTGACTTTTGAATCACCACTCTGGACGCGGCGTTGTCCCTGAGTCTCCCACCAATCAGCTTTCGCAAGAAGGTAAGTCAAGACCCGCCGCATTTCCTCCACCAGAAGGCAGATCTCCTCCACGTGCCTTCGCGTCCTGGCGCGCTGGCGCGCCCACTCGCTCCGCATGTGCAAATCCATAGCTCGGCTGTCGGCCGCCTCGGTCACCTCGAAATCGGTGTGGTCGGTAGAGTAGTCAGTTATCGATACGGTCCAGATCCAAGACGGCGTTCGGTGAGTCTCCGAGGGCTGCTCTTCAGAGTATGCACTGTCATCATGACGACGTGGGCCACGAAGATCCTCGCGGCGTAATTCCCGGAAGCGTAGAGACCAGGGGCCGCGTGGGTCTAGGGATCGCATCGCGGTATACGCCGACCCATACGTGTCGAATGCGCGATTGAGCTTTGCGGCCACCGTATCCATGAGGGACCGGGACCTTGTTCCCTCCCGTTGACCTACGCTGGATTTATGAGTTCTCAGGCACAAATGCATAAGATGAGCAACTTACTACCGGCGGTATGCTTCATTTTCTGTCGTACCGAGGCCACGAGGCGCTGAAAGCGCCGCACATTGACCAAGCTGTCCTTCAACAGGGCCTCGGCGTAGCGCTTCTCGGTGTCGACAATCCCCGGAAGGCATCCTTTGCTACGCAGCATGGCCTTGAGGTCGGAAGGAAGTAGGATTGGGAGATTTTCAGCGTTGATTGCGTCACCCGAGCCAAGGTCGTCTTCTCCCAGTTGAGATGTGCGCTCTTCTATATAACCGGGCATGTAGATATTCTGGATTTGGTAATATTCGAAGACCCGGCGGCGAAATGCCGCGCGCCGCTCCTGCAATGTGGCCTTTGCAGCTTCGGTAGCATGGGCCTTGGTATCCGCCGCGTGCTGGCGGAGTTTGCGACTAACGTTAACGTTTCAAGTCAGGTCGGTCGTGATCGCGCCGGATCATATCAAGGCCTCACCGCTGATCGAGGAGGCAGAAGGTTTGATGGACGAACATATTCCCGGACGTAGCGTGTAGCGCCGTTGCGTCGGGTTGGCCTGCCTCCGCCGCATCCTCCTTAGCAAGTTCGGCGCGCAATTTGTTGACATTGATGGCTGGATGGTCCGCACACGTTAGTGCACACTGTGGCATGGACGGAAAGTCAAATAAGGTGCTACCTTCCTCGATCTCCTCGTAAGGATTTGGCTGTTTAGGATCTTGCTCCCACCGCCGTATCATCGACTCCCAGTCCTGAATAGTCTCCTTTGGGAAACGTTCCGTAAATTCGTGAAGAACTTCTTGATGTGTTCGCGTCTCGTCCAGGGTATTGGTGAGCGACCGATAGAACCAGTCTCCTAACGACAAGGAATGAACGGCGGAATTAGAACAAAGTAACCTTCATACCAAATCCTATCATCTTGCGGAAGTTCCAGAACGTCCAGTGGTCGTTAAGCGTGTGGTGACGAGCTGACGGGCCCATATCGCGAGTCATCGTCGCGACTCCGCCGATATGCGCCCATTCTTGCTCCACGGTTTCGGCATGTGTCAGTCCGACGTCCTCATGCAGGAGGAAATAGAATTCGGTTTGACATTTCAGTTTATGTCCGTTGATATGGAAATTCGGTATGAAGAATCGGATCGTGACAACGGCGAGTGCCGCATAGGACACAGGAAGCTTGGACTGCCGGCGGCGAAGGTTTTGTTTCCATTGACACGCAATGTCGTAGCTCGCAATGACCGGAAGTATTGCCCCGACCAGAAGAAGGCTGGACCAAAAAATCCAGTCCATCGTAACGTATCTACAACGAATCAGCCTCGGACATGCGATTGGCATTATCGAGTACGTACTTCTCGCCGCGTTGGAGATCTGCAACGCCGTTCGGCACCATCAACGCGTGTCTTGCGCATTTGACAGCAGCGACGCCCGAAACGGACATGACGTCACTTGATGCTTTCTTGCTATTCACCGCTTTGATGGCGTGGAATGTCGAATCGCATGGATCGAGTTTCTTCGCTCCAAAGTTAGCACAGTTTGAACGATGGCATTTGCTGCTCACCTCGGGCTCCTCAACATAACGTTTGAGGTGCGCCTGATATTCTGCTTCATCAACAAAATACCCTGTACCACCCCCAAGCTCGGGGTCGTCGATCTTCCTGTCCCTGTTCTTCATCTTGAAGCAGGCGTCTAGTGCAAGGAACAACGCGTACAACCATCTGTAGAAGTATTAACAAGGCAATGTGGTCATCAGCATTGCAACGTACTTCTTCTCCGGTGGACTGTTCTCCCATCCCTTTGGCAAATTCCAATCCGGTTGCGGACATGCCGGGCAGCGAAGCGCAAGGCCGCCTTGTGGAGTGCCGCCAATGCCAGTTGGATCGTGCCCGCGACCCATCCGCTTCGCTGCCATTAGGTGAGCATATTGCCGTGCAGCGAGAGCTGCCTCGTGATACCGATACTGTAGTCATCAACCATGAGTAATTAGCGTAGACAATGCGCACTCCAGAAATACTTACGATTCGGGTTTTGAGACCGGCGTTGTCGGTTTTGTGCATAACCGAGAGGTAATAGTCGTGAAGCGATATTTTGCCTTGAAGCGTGAGGCGATGAAAAGTGTCAAGAAATCGGAATGTGAACGCAGTCTGTGGTTGTACGACAGACGCCGGATACCATCCGATGTCGAGGAGTTGGTCCCTATGGGACCGCGAGTCCAGCAGTCTGCAGTCACAGAACAGGAGAGTGACCAAGTGGTACCCCTTGGAGTCGAAGACCACGAAATTTGCGTGTCCTTTGACCGAGTTACAGCAAGGCTTGCCATCAGAATGACCCAGCAGCACCTCCAGTCCAAGTTCTTGAAGGGAAACCAAGCGAAAACAGCGGTCTGCCCACATCTAGAGAAAGATGCGTTCAGCATCAGCGAGCACATCCGTGATGGATGGAGACAAATACCTGAATATGATGCAACGGAAGCCATTGGTGAGCACCTAGTATGCAACCTTTACAAAGCATCCGGCCTCCGCAACAGTCTTGGCAGCGGTACAAACCCGTAGACGCTGGGTCACAGCATCCGACACATGGTACTGGGCGAGTGGGGAGCGCTTCGCGTGCGAGCATGTTGTCAAGGTATTCGTCGCGGTGTGGAATCCATCGATTCATGCGGTCCTATATGACGAAGAACTTGTTAGATGTTAGAGTCAAGTGACGCAGAGACTGAACGTAGTTGACTGACTCCGATTGTTGTCGACTCCGTTTGCGTGTCCTTACGGGCCTTCTTGTGCACTTGAGGTGGATCTTGATCTTCACGAGTTTGACCAAGATCCTCAGCCGCTGGATTGCTCTTGGTGGGATGTTCTGCCACTGGGGTCTCCGAGTATGTCGACGGCATGTTGGTTGCGGATGCACTGAGTCGGCCATTCTTCTTGGACTTCAGGACTACCGATCGAGCATGAGCAGGCGCTGAAATTCGTGACTCTGAAGCGGGCGTGAATGTCGGTAGTTTCTTCCGTTTAGACATCTACGGCCAGCAGCAATGGCGTTCAAGCTGAAAGTGACGGCAAGGTGTCGAGGTGCAGCTGTGAGCGAGAGCTGAAGCCGGCATTGAGTGAGCGAATTTGGCATTCCAATGCCGTCGTAGTGCCGAATGCAGCGCAATCCGGGCACGGTGCTCACGCTGAAGTTGAGCACACCGCTTCCTTGTGTAGCTTCATGTTGTGCAAGGTGATATACATCCGTGCCATGAACATATATACCGGGAGCTGTGGACTTGGCAATTTCCTGTACGGAGTTCCGTTTGGGCCATTTTCTTCAGTTTCAGATTTATGTTGGCATCGCGTGAGCAGCCATATATGTACAAGAGAATTGAACCCACGTCGTCAACTACAATCATGACACATACTGAAGCACAAGAAGCTCAATATATGTTGAGTAAGACATCATTGTATTTCGGCTTACTATAGGGTTCCCTACATGCAATCCGGCATGCTTCAGTTACGGAATCACTGACTGGTAGAGCCGTCTCGAAGGTTTGTTCCATAGCCTGGAAACTATGCAAGCCTCGCATTTTGATAATCCGGCCTCCCGGAAAGTTGAAGAGGTGGGAGAACGAGCTACAGTGTACTAGGTACGTAGAGAATGATGCAGTACATGTGAGTACATATGAGATATGCAACGGAGTGAAGCATTGGCGTAAACGGTTGAGTAGCAACGATCAAGTTGTTCTACAAACAATACACCTGAGTTGGATGGATACATATTCTACTGAGTACACTGATACGCTTATATCACGGGAAGGGGAGCTTATGGAATGCATGCATCAGGAAATACTTCCGAAACCGCTGCGACAATGTGGACCTGTCTCGAATGTAGATCACCTTGCCGAGGATTCAACTCATGTCGTCAAGTACAACTATCGTACATCCTGACGCACGAGAAGCTCCACATACGTTGAATAAGACACCATCGTGATGCGGCTCACAGGGATCTCTATATGCAATCCGGCATGCTTCAATTATGGCACTAATGACCGGTAGAGCCATCTCAAATGTTTGTTCCACAGCCTGGCAACTATGCAAGCCTCGCATTTTTATAACCCGGCCTCCCGAGAAGTTGAAGGGGTGGGAGAACAAGCTACATTGTACTAGGTACGTAGAGAATGATGCAGTACATGTGAGTACGTATGAGATATGCAATGGAGCGGAGCATTGGCGTACACGGTTGAGTATCAACGACCAAGTTGTTTTACAAACAATAAACCTGAGTTGGATGAATACATACTCTACTGAGTACACTGATACGCTTAGATTACGGGAAGGGGAGCTTATGGAATGCCTGTGTCAGGCAATACTCCCTAAACCGCTGCAACACCGCGCACCTGTGAATCTATCTTGAGGGTCGATTCACCGGCCCAGCGGATGCGAGCCTCGTGTCTCAACGTTCTGTTCTCTTTTGCAAATGCACAAGGCGGCTGAATAAGGTATATTATGCTACATATGTAGGGTGTTATGTAGCATATGTCAGACCACAGCAAGATCTATTACGGGCAAGGCGAGGAACATTTGACTGAGTGGGGCGGGGGGATATTCGACACAAGAGAGACGCAAACAGGACTTCGAGTAATATACATATACACTTCGTTGCAAGAGGAAGGGTCTACGGAGCGCCGGCATCAGGCAGCTCTCATCAGTAAATCACCGCCACATCACCAGACCGGAGTGCGGCTTCGAAAGCTTGCTCTGCTTTCTGACGAGATCCATGGCGGCGGTAGATAGAGCCTGAGACGTGCAAGACGAAAGGAGAAACAGTCTCCCTAACAAAACAGTGAGTTATGTATGAGTTTAGCGGATCACAAGTACTTACCATCCCATGAATACGCCAACCGATTTTCCGCGGACCACTGCGTACCAACGATCATCCACGATCGGGGCGATGGCGACAGCAGTGCTTGGTCCAGCGGGCCCAGGGCCAGCTGGGAAGGGCTCGCAGTATTCACGTGAATATCTGTCCGTAAACGAGGGATAGTCGTATGCAGATGCCTTAAGGTACTGCGCGTTAGGGAGGATTGGGATGACCGTAGGGCCGGAGGTCCGCACGTCGATGGCGGCCCCCCCGGACGAGTTGTCGTGCACAATGGAGAAGGTAGTGGGGCCAGGAGCAGTGCGGTGGGAAGTGGAGCCATTGTCAGAAGGAGGAGGAGTCGGGGGGCGACTGGCCGAGGTAAAGGACACGTTGTCGTTGTCGTCAGCATTAGCATCGGCATTGTCGCCGTGGCCTGTTGATTCGATGAGTTGTCGATGGTATATACACGACAGGAACAGACTTACGAAGCTGCAACCTATTGACTAGGGCGCTGATCTGAGCGAGAATGTCGTTGCACTCCTCCGGAGTCTGTTGAGAGTGTCAGCTGGATATATGAAGACAAGCAGGGGCATACGATAGCGGCGACGGTCTGCTTAACCATTGTGAGAGTGCGAAAGTGAAAGCGAGGGGCGAACGCGTGAGTGAAGTTGAGACTGGGGATACGCACCCTGGTTGCCACCCTTTATCCCAATCCCCGACGGTATAATTTGGCAATGGCGTATATCTCTCATAATGCGAATCGTACCTACATAATGGGCGGGCACTGAACACGTTCCGTCTTGAGGTGTCTTGCGAGTCTTATTTGGCGATGTCACACGTACTCTGTGGCATAGGGCGGTCACAAGCGAATTGAGGAATGAGGTGATAACTGGGGGTTGGAAGTGATCGTCGCCGACGGTGGCATTGGTCAAGGTTGTTGGGTGGCGGCATGACGCGCACAGAGAGCTTCGGTACCGATTTGTCAGTACAGGTCCCACACAACCAAATATGACATTTAAGATTCTACGAGAACATGGGACTAGCCACTGTAAGTTGAGCCTCGAACAACACGAGGCCGAATAGAGTGGGGATGCACGAGGCTGCACCACTGTGAACACAGAGGTTGCACATTAGAATTATTCAACAAACCTCTGGAACCATAAGGGAGACGGATGCGCTGGGAGATATTGAGGAAAGGCACATAGCTGGGGGATGATCTGTGCGGATATCCGAGCCGTGCTCAGCCAGGGTGTGTGGCAGCAAGTTAGGGAAACTGTAACGGAGTAATCCGTAGTCCCGAACTGTGGCCTTGCCGCCGGGCCCGATGATAATTAATTCCCATGCCCAGATTACCTTGAGATCCTCGCAAACGTTTCGCGAGGCGTGAAAAGTTTGGGCCCGTTTCGGGAGAACCTCCCATTAGGAAGTTGGAGAGAGTGTGGACATACGCTCCTGAGCTGCTAGTTCCCTCAATGAGATCCAGGCCTACTCATTGGAATTCTTCGACGAACCTTTGTTACCATGAGGAGGGGCGGGGCACACCGAGATGCTGAATGAATCCTGTAACGATGCGCTGATCTGTGCAGATGAACCAGACGGACGTCGGCGGGGAATGTCCATCAGTGAGAGCTGAACTGAGCGATTTCAATGGAGAGTATAACCGGGGAGTGATTTGCTGTTGTAGTTGAAACGATGGCCCGTATATCAATGGCACTGGGGGTTGCGTTCAGTCATACATCCCCGATCATCCATATAACTTGCCTTATTATCCTTGAAAACTTGTACTTGCTTAGTCATGACTCGGAGCAGCGTATTCTCTGACGAGGAGAACGAATGGTTGAAGAAAAAACTGGATGAGTGGAGGGATGCCAAGTCGAAGATCGACTTCATGTTGAAGACCGCGCCCTTGTTCTTCAAAACGTTCCCTATTGATCCGACGCCAGAGGAGATTGCGAGTTGCGGAGGAGATGTAGCGCAGGCGAGGGTGCACGAGAATGTTGTGCAGCGATACAAGGACCGCAAAGCGGTGAGTGACGCCCTGTACTTCGGAATTCATACGCATTGACACGGACACGGACCCACAGCAAATCAGGACGTGGTTTGGTAATCACAGCCGCGAGCGCGGCTCTGGTCCTGAAATTCCTGGCGTCAAGCGTCCCGTACGATCCCGCGTGCTCAATCTCGAGACGAAGCCCAGGAAGCCATAGGAGTACCAAGCTTGGCAGCGTTTGTTCTATCACAACGAGGATGTGCAAGCCGAGTACAAGGTCGCCTGGGATCAAGCAATGAAAGAAGGCTGGACGAACGATCAACAGGTATGTACGCTATTGTGTGATACTATACGCTTGCTTATGTTGTGAATTTCAGGTTAAATTTCAGGCACAATTCGCCCAGCAGCATCTCGACGCTGCTGACCCACAGGTGCTTAAAGCCATCCAGGACTATCGCAACGAGGGCTATCTTCAAAGGGACGATTTATCCCTTCCGGAGGGCGTGCAAGATACGGAGGATACACGACGAGCGTATCGAATGATGGAGTAAGTGTATGTCTTCCGTTCAGAATATACATGTTCTCATCTTGCTATATCAGAGCGATCGATAACCTACCACATACCATAGCAGCAGCAGCAGAGAGCTGGCATCGACAGACCGGTTTGCAGATCTCTATCATGGTCGGCGGACCCTTCCCGCGATCAGAAACCGCGGAAATTCAGACTATGTAGTAAGTCTCTCGCGGATCTATGTTGTGCGTCCACTCAAACGACCTCAATAGCTACGGCACAGGCAAGAATCTCCTCGGATGTGAGTTCGTCGACGCAAACTCGGACTTCAAGACAGACTGGCGAGACACATTCCACACATTTTGTGAAGGTTCATACAGTAAGTATAGCGTTCGCATCCATGTCCATAATCTCACCACTTCTCACAGCTTCGCAGGAACGCATGCGCCGCCGCGTAGCTGTAGCAGCCGATAACTCCTCGAAGCCTGGCTCAGCACCCGCCGCAACGTCCTCCGGCGTCCTCCCGCAAGCTGATGAAAACACACCGCCGATTGGATGTGCACTCCCTGCCGCCCTTGCCATGCGACCACATGATACCGCCTTCAAACCGGTCAACAAGCCTGTGGAAGACACTTCAATCAATCCTCAGCTCCTCGGACTCATTCCCTTCTCGAATGACGCCCATATCGAAACCCCAGCACCCGTCCCGGTCACACAAGAACTCCAAGCAGGACAAGCAGTCTCATCGCAGACGCCTCACTCGCAGCCTGCCAGTGCCTCCCTTCCACCCATCACTGTCCTTGCGGCACCTCTGCCTGCTGCACCCGAGGTCGCTTCAGGCTCTCAAGATATCCTTGCTGGCGCTGCAGTTGGTGCAACCCTTTCGCCCACGACATCTTCCCCGCTGCCTGCAAGCACCTCCCCTTCATCCATCGCTGCTCTCGCTGCGCCTCTCCCTGCTGCGCCCGAGGTGGCTGCAGGCTCCGGGGATGTCGGTCTTGCAGGTGGTGTGGTTGAGACATCGGCTCCTCAAGATCACACAACCCCTTCATTGACGATCACTCCCTTGCAGCCTGTCAGTGCTTTTCCTCCGCCCGTAATTGTCCTTGCGGCATCTCTCCCTGCTGCGCCTGAGGCCGCTTCCGGCTCCAGCGATCTCCATGTTGCGGGCACTGCCATTGGGACATCTGTTCTTCAAGATCCCGCGACCCTTTCACCCGCGACATCTTCCTCGCTGCCTGCGAAAGCCTCCCCTCCGTCTATTACTGCCCTCGCTACACCTCTCTCTGCTGCGCTCGAGATGGCTGCAGGATCCGGAGACGTCGGTCTTGTAGGTGCTGCAGTTGGGACATTGGCTCCCCAAGATCACGCAACCCCTCCATCCACGACCCCTCTCTCACAGTCTGCCAGCACCTCCTCTTTGTCTGTCTCCGCCCCTGCTGTACGCGGCCCAGACGTCGACTCTACCGGCAATGCCGTTCGATCATCTGTGGTCAAAGATGCCACAGACGACTCATCGGATGATCCCATTATACCCGTGACTTACTCGGATCTTGACGAGGAGGAGACTGCTCTGCTTCCAGCGGACAAAAGCCAGAGACGGGCATCTTCGCGGCCCAAGAAGCTTAAAATCACAGGCGGCGAGGGATGTACTCTCGACTTCTCTCAGCCGACGTTCGACCTCGTCAAGAACATCGCTTTGTCTAAAGACCTCCCGGAATACTTCATGGGTGCAGTCGCATTCATTTCGGAGGCCGTCACCGAGCCGGCATTCATCAACATGCTTCGAGCCTACATCCTGTTCGAGGCAAAGGCACGATTCCTCAGTCGGGTGAGTCTTTCAGGTGCTACTCCATTACGGGCTTCACTGATACCAAATTCATGTTCAGAACAGTGTTACAAAGTCATTGATGCGCCCATCGATGACCAGCAAATGGATCAACAACACCAAGCGCACGACGTATATGGTCACTTGCGATGATCCTCAAAAAGACTTCTTTTCCTGGAACGCGTGGTGGATCTCGTTGCAGCCAAGCTGGCGCTGCCGCCCCAGTGCACCTCTTTCGCGTGCAGTTCCCCGTGGTCAGAACACCGACTTTCCCGAAATCAAGAACGGTAAAAACGGGGTTGTTGTCGTTGTACTAACCTTGGCTTGGATTTTCCTTGGAGCCATGGCCCGCAACGAGGGCGGGGTTAACGTCAAAGTACTCGAGGCCGTTGAGGATGTTACGTGGGTCCTGACGTTGGCAACCAAGACACCTGCGACCGCGGCCGTCAACGAATTGTGGCGTTGCCCAAAGAGGTTTTGCGCATCTATCCTAGGCTCCTGTCGCTCAACTACTTTTGTTACAGACGCTCTGCGAAGAAAGCTTCTATCAACGATGAAAACGATGTCCCTGCCAAGTGAGTTACCGTCAGCATGGTTCATCTTTTTACTCATTCCCCGTATGGTAGGCGTACTCGCAGGTCCAAGAACGCGTGAAACTTTGTCGACCCGCTCCTGCCCATCCGCACCACTTTTTCGTATCATCTTGGTCTTCTTGTCGTGCCCCACTCATGGCCGCCGTTCTTGCTGTTCCGTCGCTGTGCATCCTTCCTCGCATAAGATATCTATGAACTGTCAGTACTGGATACCGTTGTCCTCGCATCCTTCGGTAGCTGCTCGTGTCACATTCCGTGTGCCATAGTGTTATGAGTCCTGTAAGTAATAGTGCGGACTCATATTCCATCTTAATTGTGCTTCGTGCAAGTAATATGACCTCACAAGGAATGCTGGAGCTTGGGGCGCGCGTCGGGATTGAACTCCGGGATAAAGCAAGAATATGAGGTGTCTGCCACGGGTCTGTGAGCTGAAGCAGTAATGTAATGAATATGTGACACCGAGTCCGGTCAAAGTCTATGACAGGACCCGGGCCATCCGGGTGGGCGGAGTCAAGGCTTGTTAACGAGGTATGTATGATACAGGCGCTGACATGAGTCCGAAGCGGTATGACAGAAGGGAATAGCTAGGACCGTCATTCATGGACGAGGATTTGTATGACAGGGCGAAGGACTATGAACGAGGGACGTATCGGCAGTGTCGAGCTCTGTATGACAGAGTGCACAGACAGGCCATCCGGGTGGGCGAATTCAAGGCTTGTTGGCGAGCTATGTATGACACATGCTCAGATGCGCGAGTCGTTAAGATCGACGTACGTACGTGTCGGAATCTGTATGACAGAATGCGAAGGCGGGCCATTCGGGTGGGCAGAGTCGAGACTCACTAACGATGTATGTATGACACAGGTGCTGACACGAGGGTCGGGAGATGTATGACAGAGGGAGTGGCAAGTACTGTCGTTCATGAATGAGGGCTTGTATGACAGGGAGGGGGATCATGAACGAGGGA